ACCATGCCCGGTCTCAATGGCCGTCTCAGCAAGCCCCAGGAGCAGGGCTGGCATGGCAGGCCTGGGGATCGAAACTCCAGCCCCTGTGCCTGCTTGCAGGTGCTTTAATCCACTGAGCTATTTGGCTGGCCCTAAGCCTCCTGTCTTAGTTCCTCTGGAGCTGCAGAAATTTTCTAAATAAAATATTAATGTGTCACAGTCCCCACATACAAGGGACTCTTTCCTTTCCTCAAGCTGTTGTGGCCAAAGTGCTGTGGATGCACACAGCTACCATGACGTGTTTCTTCCCCATAAGGCAGTCACACAAACTAGAATTCACACACTAAGCGGGGGCCCCAGCCCCTCCCAGAAGGCCTTGGTGTCCACGGGTCAGAGGTCATATGTTCCGCAGGGCAGCCGGGATGTGCCAGGCACTGGGGCAGGACCCTTGCTCAACTGCGTCCTGTCTGTGCTGTAGCTTCTGGACAGATGGTTTGCTAGAACTTTCCAGGGGGACTCTTTCTAAAATAAGGGTGGCTGATCCATCCTGTTTAGGACTCTGGCATGCTTACTTTGGGGGAAGAATTGTGCAGGTGATTTTGACTACCTGCCTATGAAGACAGTTACAGACTAGCAGGACAGACTGGCAAATGAGCAGGACAGGTTGGAAAAGGGACACAGTGGAGCAGTCTAGTGTTGGGGTGGATGTCACACAATCTCTGCCTGCTTTGCCACACGCTGCCTTGCCACGTGCTGACCCACATGAACCAGACCACTTACCTAAACCCTGTGCCTTTGTTTGCTCATCTGTAAAGTGGGCATGATGACAGTAGCTGCCTCATCGTTGGGAGGACTACACAACATACTATGTGTGGAGTTTAGGACCGTAAGGGGTGTGTGAAAACACAGTGGCACAAGTGCCTATGGCTGTGCTCACTGCTACTGTGATTCCTCCTGGAGGAACAGCTTCCAGACACAGTGAGACCTGTGAAATGAGTTATGGGGGACAGGGAAGGCAGAACACAGGGCCAGGCCTGACAGCTGGGTGCAGCGGGCACACAGTGAGCTGCAGAGTCACAAAGACGCTGGGGGCAGGTATGAGAGGGGGCCTGAGGATCGTGCTGCAAAGTCTGCACTCGATCTAGAGAACAGTGGGGAGGTGGATTCCACTGGGGTCCGCTGAGCTGCTGTGCGCGTGCATGTGTGTGCATACGCATGTGTGTGAGAGTGTGCACATGTATGTATGAGTTGGAATACATGTGTGTGAGTCTGCACACATGAGGGGGCTACAGACTGCCTGGCCCTGGCCCCTAGAAGGATCCACCGGACAACTCCATGATTCAGGGACCTCAGTCTTTTCCCAGCACCTGACTGGCTGGTTCTGGGTCTTTAGCCTGGTAGCATGCCAGGCCTCTCCCTCACTTGTCAGCACTCCTACCATCCCACCTCAGGGCCCTTCCTAGGCGGTGGGAGCACCCATCTCCCCCATTTCCAGAGCACCTGAAAATCCCACCCTTGCTGTGTGGGGGACCCCTGGCAGGCCCTTGTGCTAGCTCCTCCCTCAGGGTGGTGGTGGCACCACGTGCCCACACGCTGGGTCCTGTCCCTGGCCCTGGCATCCTCATGGCTGACCCTCCTGGTGCTGGTCTTTTTCCTCTGCACAGCAGGGAGCATGGTCATGCCCATTGCCAGGCTGGGAGCAGGCCGGAAATGACAAGAGATAATGCACCCAGGACACAGGCACTCCGGCCTTGCTTGGTTCTGTCGACCTAAGTCAATCTCCTCCACCTTCCTGAACACTCAGATGCTCCTGTTGCTGCGCTGTCTACTGGCGGGAAGATGCGGCACAAGGCAGCCCCTGTTGACCTGCAATTCACAGACCACTTCAGGGAAGGACACGTCCAACAACAAGCTCCTCCATGTGCACCACACACTCCCCTCTAGCTCCTGGGCCCCAGTGGTCCTCACGCTGGAGGAAACATGTGCCTACCGATTGCACCTGAGCTGGGGCAGGCTATTCTATCCATTTGGTCTTCTGACCCCCAACAATCCTCCAAGCTCAGTGCACGAAGCCCCCTAGCTGAGGCCCAAGGCCCCACAGGCTAGCCCGTGACAGGAGCTGGGTGCTGGGCCCACATCTGCTAATACTAACATCCACACTGTTTCCGGAGGGCCAGAAGGCCCAAGGGAAGGAGCACCAAGCAGCAAAGATGCTGGGAGGATGCTGTTTTGGGGACTGTCCCCAAAGGCTGTGGCACAAGAGCATCCCGAGGCCTGTGCACTTGCCTTCTGCAGGGAGGCCACCAACCCTCTCCTTCCCTCGCTGGCTTCCACTTCTTACTCTGCTGGGCAGCTTCACTTCTGCTGACAGCGGCCAAGTAGCCCATGAGGGTAATTAATTCAATTTGCTCAGCAAGGGAAGCAAAAGCTTGGCTTGTATTAATGATTTGAAGGTAGCAAGTAATTTATGCTAACTGGCGGCAGAACTGCGCCATCTCCGCTCAGTGATGAACTGCGTTGATGAATAAGACCTCGTCACTCCAGGTAAGGAGCCAGGATGGTGGCTTATGCATGACTTGGGGGAAAGATGACCAGGACAGAAGCAAAATGAAGACAGGGCAGAGAACGACAGCTTTTCAATGGCCTCCTTTGGAGGAGGAGAATTAGACTGCAGAGAGAAGCTGGGGACAGTGAGCCCCTCTTTATAACCCATTTGTTTTTATAGCAAAAGTCTTACGTTCTCTTGTGTAAAAGGTCTTGCCCCCATTTTGCCCGAGAATCTGACAGGGTAATTATGAATCTGCACCAAGCAGTAGCACTGAAGAAATGGTGTTATGCAGGAGTCATTGCTCCTGCTGTAACTCAAGACAGTCATTTACAAAGAGCAGAGGACGGGGAGACACTGGGTATCTAGGGGACTCCTCCTGACTGGCCAGAGTGGCCCAGGTGGACATCCTGGAGCAGGTGTACAAGAAAAGAAGGGAGAAGAGGGCTTACTGAGGTGCTCTAACTTTGGCGATGGCTGGAGCGGGTAGGATGACTACAGCAAAGGAAGGTCCAGTGTCGCCCACTTTTTCCCAGATTCATCCCTGCTTCCTTGTGGCTTTTCCTTGATTTCTGCCCTGCGTCCCAATTTTCCCGGTGAGCACCACCCAGAGGTACCCAGGCCTCTTTTACTGGTGCTGCTGGGTTGCCCAGAACCATTGGAAGTGGGACAAAGATGCCTCCCAAATGCTATCACGGACATGGATGAAAGCAGGGCAAGGCGGAGGCTGCTGGAAACTACAAACGCAGGAGGAAAGGGGGTGCACGGTGGGGCTGAGGGCGGAGCACGTACCAGCAACTTGAGGCTTCTCTAGTGGATGCCATGAACACCCTGCACTGTGGCCAAGAGAACAGCTCTTGTCCTTAGCCTGTGCTGATGCTGGGGAGATGCTCCAGTACATGGTAAAGAGTCCTAAATGCCAGGCCTCTCCCATGGTGTCTGGGAAAGCCAGTGCTGAAAACAGGTTAGCCACGGGTTTGAGCACTATCTGGGACAAGTATGATATGAGCCATCTCACTTGCTTCTCGAAACAACCCATGGAGTGGGATGGCCAACCCATGAAGCAGGGAACCAAGGCTTGTGTTCTCCTGCTCTTGCCCCTGGGCCTTTGGCTGTGAGGTGCCAGCCCTCCACGGATGGAGTTTTCCAAAACTAGCACCTTCCCTGAAGCCTGTACCCACTGAGACCCGCAGCAGGGTCCTTGGGCTTCCTGCTTTCCTGGCACACAAGGGATGGCACCAAAGGCACGACACACTCCTACCAGCATCTGGTGGGTTGACTAGTAGCTTCTCGGGAGATTTACCCACCTGGAATTTGCCCATGAAAACTTTTCTTGAATAAAGGGCATTCACAGATGTTCTTGAGACGAGGTCATCCCGGATTGGAGTGGGCCTTAAATGACACTGACAGTGACACAGTCCTTACAAGAGAAAGGGGAGAAAAGCCACAGGAAGATAGAAGCAGACACTAAAGCACTGACAAGCCAAGGGACACTGAGGTGCTCCAAGGAATCCTGGCCACCACTAGAAGAAGCTTCTGTGACAAGGAAGGAGCCTGCTCTGGATCCTTCAGAGGGAACGCGCTCCTCCTGACCCCTGGATTCTGGGGTTCTTGCCCCCCTTTCTCCCACTCAAGGACACACATCGGAACAAAAGGACCAATGCCATTAATGAAAGACGGCCGCTCATCCAGTCTAATTTTTGTATAGAAAAAGTGAAATAATTTTCCAAATGGCTTATTAGTTTTTCCCCCCTATTATAAAACCACTACCATTTAACTGTTATTTCTAAGCACGAAGAATACACTTCATAAAGCTCATGACCTCGGCTGCATTCAGAATGTGTAGCCCAGGGGGACCAACTTGGGAATGGTTTTCACCTGCGACAGAGTCTGGCTTACCTTTCTCCTGGGCCATCTCTTGCAAACAGAAGTAGATGACTCTGGCCCCCAGGCTGAAGCCAATCAAGGTGACAGGTCGCTGGCCCTGGTAAGGGGAAAAAGACACAGGTGTCTGGAGGGGACCCAGTGAGCTGTCACACACCTTCAGCCTTTGTATGTCCCTCAGCGCCACCTCGTGTGTGGGCCAAATCATGCAGTCTGGACTTTCATTTCTGCAGAAGTGCACCTGGCTTCCTCCAAGGCCTGCAGCAGGCAGCCTCTGGCTGAGTTAATCCACTTTCACCTCCAATCATTATCAGCCACCTCCACTTCTTTCCTGGGAGCCAGGAGCAGTCGATGACCAGGGCTCCTTCCCTCTTATGCCTCTGCCTGTGGTGGAGGACCGCAGCTATCTGGGACCCTCTGGGGGTGGGAAGGTGAGACAGAAGGTACCCCCAAGTGTGCTGCATAACAAAGCAAGGAGTGACAGGGGAGGGACAGCTGTTGTGTTTCTAGAGAGGAAGGCGGGACACAAAGTATTAGCTTTAAATGACAACATAAGGCAGTGAGTCAGAGATTAAGAGGAACCTTTAGAGTCATGAATCTGTAGAAAAGGAGGATTATCAGTAGAAGACAGTAAAGAAGAGGAAGTTGTCTGGGCTACCTGGGGGCCAGTTCTATATGGAAGGGGAGGAAGGCTCCAGTGAGCTTCTGAGGAGACCTCTGGTTTTACCAGTCTCCACCTTTCCTCCTATTTCCCACCAATTCATGTATTCCATCCCTGCCCCCCGCCCCGCTCCCTACATAACAGAGAATCCCCCATTAAATAGCACTGAACTCCGCAGGAACCTTGTGGCAAAAATTGCTAGTCATCTCCCGATATCCTCTCTTCCCCTCATCCTCTGGCATAAGTGCTACTACGATTCCCCAGACACACCACCACCACCACCACCACCACCACCACCCAAGGACAGATTTTGCCTTTGTATCTGGGGGTGGCCACAGGGCCATCTAAGAGGGGTGCAAGAGGAGTCAGTCTGACAGAAGGCAGTGTGAAGAGGGAGAGAGAGAAAGAGACCTTGTCCAGCCAGTGCCCCTTTGGTATTTGCCTTACAGCCAAACCTGACAAAGGACTTCTCCCTCTTCCTGTTCTTCCTCTTCCTCTCTGTCTCCCTTTCCCCCTCCTCCTTTCTTCCCTTTCTCCTTTTGTGGCTAAGATCCCCGTACTTAGGACTCAGGCGTTACCAGCTTCTTGGCCAATGTGCCCACAGCAGAAGCTGCCATCTGTCCCTCGATGTCTGCCCAGCCTTTTGCACATAGTAACTGAATTTCAGCTGGCTTTGCTGCTCCTCAGAATAAAGACTGAAGCCCTCGCTTCTGCGGCCGCTAGCAGCTGGGCTCCAGCCAACAGACACGTGGGCTATGGTTTGTGGCTGTCTCCTCCAGCTCTTTCTTTCTCCTGCTACCTGGAACTCAGACACTGCCATCTTGGACCAGGAGGGCAAGGCCATTTTTCTAGGAAAAATAAACTTCTACCTTGCTTAAACCACTGTTGTTTTGGGTTTTCTCCCATTTGCAGCTGAGAGCAATCCTAACAGTACGGCCTTCTCTGATGCTGCCTCTCACGTGCTCGCTTCCATTTATTCAGGCTTCCTTATTTATCATGTATTTGAGACAGGGTCTCGCTACCTCACTAAGTTGCCCAGACTAATAAGCTTGGCCTTGTGATCCTCCTGCCTCAGCCTCCCAGAGCGCTGGGTTCCAGGGGCACCATCACACTTGGCTCCTCAAGCTTATTTTGAAAGAGGCAGTTTTTATTTGCCAGGAGGACCACTTGCGTACGTCTAGGAAGAAACACCCGGCACCAGGGTGTCGGAGCCCGGGAGAGGTGTATGCGTGGTGTCCTTTGCCTCACTGGCTTCACTGCTGACTGAATCAGAGGTTCCTACTGAAACCTTGCCCAAGGAGCCTCACTTTGCTAACCTCCCTTTTTTTTTCCTCCTTAGTGCTGTATCACTGAGCCATACCCCCAGCCTCTTCTTTTGTGGGGGACAGGGTCTTGCTGTATAGTCCAGGTTGGCCTTGAACCCAAGCCTCAGCCTTCTGAACACTGGGATTATAGGCATGTGCCACCATGTCTGGCCTTAATTTTAATCTTGAAATAGGTCTTTCTAAGTTTTGGCCAGGCTGGCCTTGAACTTATAATCCTTCTTCTCAGCCTGCTGAGTAGATGGGATGACAGGTGTGCACCATGCCACACTCTTTATTTTTTCTATTTTTTACTTTTTATCTATTTAGGACAGGGTCTACAGGGTCTCACTATGTAGATCGGACTCATAGTGATTCTCAAGTGCTGGGATTGCAGGTGTGCGTCACCTCGCCCAGTCTCAATTGCCATCTCAGCGTGCCCCGCGGGTGGGGCCAGCACAGCACACCAGGGATTGAACCCTAGCTGCTGCATTCTGCTTATGCAGGCGCTTTAGTCCACTGAGCTAGCTGGCTGGTCCATGCCATACTCTTTAGTTGAAGTCACTTTCATTTTTGTTCAAGTCCCCAGCCTTGTCCACAGCTGCAGATGCCCTTGCTTCATCTAACTACCAGCTAGAGTTATGCAGTCTATAGTTCTCACAGGTCCATCCTAGGAGTCCTGCATGGCAAGCCCTGGGGGGCAGAGCAGACCACCTCCCCCATGGACGCACCAGACTCTTCCAAGTGGACCTGCTGCTAGAACCTCCAGATGGGCACCAGCAAGGCCCTCACTTCACCTCCTCCCCTCCCCCACAGCCATTTCTAGTACCTGCTGCCGGGAGAGCAGGATGTGGGCCAGGTGCTTGCCAACCTCTGCCGACCGATGGAGACACACGCCCCAGGGGTTGTCGATGACGTTGGCCACACTGAGGAGTGAGGCTGGCCAGGTCAGGGCGGCCACGATGCCTGGGGAAGTGGAATATCAGTGATGAAGGGGGAGTACTTCTGGGGCAGTGAGTGGCTACTGACGGACGAGTACAATACATGCAGGCTACAACTTGGACATCCTCAGTATTGCCAAACTTCTCCCATTGTGACAGGCTCACCTGCTGACTCTAGGAGACTCATAGAACATCCCCAGGTTTTCTCTGGTGGCCCGTGTAAGGCTAGCTAACGTCCCTTAACAACTGGTGGACCCACAAATCCATAAGCAGCCCTACTCAGATCAGCTCTCCCCAGCCTCTCCACTCCTGAACCACTGCAACAAATGATTATTATTCTAGGCTACTGAGTTGGGGACCAACTTGTCACGCAGCATTAGCTAACACACACACTATGCGATTGGCTTTTGACCTGTCTCCTCACATAAAGACTACAGCCTTCTCCATCTCCAGCTTGGTGCCTGGCTTCTTGGACCCCGTGGGCACACAAGGATATGGTACCACTTTGTGGGTGAGGGGAGGCTTACCAGATAGCACGGTGTACTTGAGGGCTTCCTGGGCCACCATGTTGGCGAGGCCACTGAGAATGGTCTCCAGGGCATTGCCGAGCTCCATCAGGTACTTGGCTTCCCAGGCCAGGCAGTACTGCTCCTGGCTGCGGGCCAGGGCAGCCCAGGGGGCACTGAAGGTGCCTGGAAAGAAGAGAGGTAGGCGGACTCTATGGTTGAGGACATCCCTGCTGCACTAAGCTAGGTAGGTGGTGATGGGGGGCTGCTCAAACAAGCAGGGAGGACAAGAGGCATTGGCAGGGGGAGGGGAGCATCCTGTTACCCCATAGGCCATCCTAACTCCAGTCTCATGAGCAGTTAGCTAGGTGACCTTGGAAACATCACTCTCTGATGACCTTGAGCCTCACTTTGTTTATCCGCGAAGTGAGGAGATTACAACTCATCTCCCGAGGGTAGTTGTAAGAATGGAGTGTGTGAACTACTACGTGTACAAAGCTTGAATTCTAGCACAACGCTGCTGACGTCAGATGGGACGCTTCTGGTCTCACTATGTGGTATCCTGATTCATTAAACATTGTCCCGGGCCTCAATTTCCCTACCTGGGAAATAGACCAGGAAAATGATGACATGTGAGGCGAGATGAGACAACAGCACCACAGCGGCCAACAGCAAGCAGAAAAGCATACCCAAGCACATCCTGCTGTCCTCCTACTGCCCACTGCCTTCAGGATATGGGCCCAGAAGGACACCTAGTCCAGCCCTTGTCGATGTCTCCCTGTGGCCCTGGAGACCTTTTCAGGATACAAATCTCCGTGTCGCAAACTCTTCACTAGCTCCTGAATCTCACATTGACCTCCCTGGTTCACTCGCATGTACCCTGTGAGCTCTAGTCTGATCGCCTCTGTGCACAGGAAATTCTCCCCAGCCCCTCTGGCAGATCAAAGGTGCCTGTACCTTGCCTGTAAGTCCACACTGCAGCCTGGAATCACGCATTCGTTTTTGCATTCCGTCTTGAGTGTTTGCCTCCCCTACACCCTGCTGGGCCAAGCAGCACGTGCTCAAAGCCAGGCAACTGGGGCCTGGGGAGATGGCTCAGTGGAATAAGTGCTTCCCTAGCAAGCGCAACGGCCAGAGTTCAATCCCTGGTTCCGGGGGGAAAAACAAAACAAAACAAAACAAAACAAAAACAAAACCAGGCAACGGATACACCATAAGCTCTCAGAAAAGCAGCACTAATGAAGGAAGGCGAGAGAGCCTGTGGCTTCCCAGGCCTGCCTGTCTGAGCCAAAGGCCTTGCCCTTCCTTACAGGGTGCTCTCTGGACACAGAGAGGTCCTGCAGCCGTCCCCTCCCTCTGCAAGGACTGGCTCTGTGACAACCCAGAGGTCTTTGGTCTTTTAAGGACAAAGCCACAATCATCTGGAGAAAAGAGGCAGGTGCGGCCAGCAGGGGGAGCCTAGCCTCGATGCGCTGAACACCTAGGGCTGCGCCGCTGGGCATAGCTCCCTGTCTGAAAGGCACGAGGCCCTTCTCAGCCTCAGGTTCTACACGCAGAAGAATGGAATCATTCTCACAGATGTCTACGGTGGCCGTGGAGAGACGGCATGAAGAGTTCCATGGATTGACATGTGTAGCAACTGCACTGTACTGTCAGTGGCCACGAGCAGGGGCGGGAGAGCCAGGCGGAAGAGGTCTGAATCTTGCTGGGTAACCCACCCCGGGAATCCGTCTTGAGCCTTGGTGTTCTCTTCTGTAAAGTGGGGGTGGTGCTCCAGCCTCAAGTTGGAGGCGTGTTGCATGCCCAGCGCTGGAGTTAGTCCTGGGCTCAGGGCAAGTGGTCAGCTACAAAGCCGCTGTCACCATTACAGTCATGATTAATAAGCAGGTGTGCCGAGGAAAGTCCGCTTATTCCCATCACGTGCAAGCAAGTCTGTGAGGAACATGTGGCGTTCGGCAGGCAGAACGGGTGACTTCTCCCGCCTGACCTGTCTCTACTCACTTATATTTCATTTAACCATCCCTCTTCCTGGGTCCCACACTGTAGTACACTCCTGAAAGAGAACCATGAAGCTGGTTTCCTTTCCCCAGAGCGACCTCAGGCTTTGATCTGGCAAAAAGGGCCACAGTGCAGTCAAGGGATGTGGCTTCCATCTTGGTCAGAATTTCAAATTCCTTTACCGGGATCTGTGTTCACATTCTCCCACCCCCATCATGGGGAAGTGAAAGCAGGGGTACAAAAACCCTGGCTGTGCATCAGAAGAACAGTGAGTGGACCAGGGTGCAAGCCCCGCCCCCAGCCATCCAGGTCAGGAGCCCCCAGAGCATGCAGGAAGGGCACCGATGTTTGTGAAATGCCAGCCAGAAACTAGGCGCCTGCCACGCTTAGTTTGATCTTCGTAGCAGCCCCGGAAGCAGAAATATTCCGTTGCACTTGACAAATGAAGTCATCGAGGTAGGGAAGCTAAGTGACTGGCTTGAGGTCACATGGCCACAGTGGACTGATCTCTCACCTGTGTGCTTAAAGTCCTTGGCTACCTTCCACTTTGAGGACAAGTTCAAACCTCAGCCCACACGCTCCTGGATGGTGTGGCCCTGCCCACAATCCTGCTTTCTGGCTCCCGGCTGCGGCTGTCCTGTGCTCCTTCTGGTTCTTTAGTACCACATGCTGCTCCTTGGTTTGCACACATTTTTTTTTTTCCTTCTTCTTTACCTGGATAACGTCAAGCCAGTCCTTAGACTAAATGTTACTTTCTCCAGGAGCCTTCCCCAGGAGCACCCTGTGATTCTCCTATTGTGTCCCCAAATTCCTTGTGATTACATGGTCTGTCTTATATCTTACGTGTTCTACAGGTCTGTCTTATATCTTACGTGAACCACGAATATGCTGCCTACCACTGAATTCCTAGAGCCTGGCTTGCTGGGCAGCACATGGTAAGTGCAATATTTTATGAATTTGGCCGTCTGTGTACATGATGAATAGATGGATGGGTAGATGAGTGGATGGGTGAGTGGGTATTCTAAAAATGTGCTGGATGGCTGGATAAGTGAATAGTAGATGGAAGATGGATGGATGGATAAGAGAATGAGGGGCTATTCTATAAATATTGCTGGTTGGCTGGGTAGATGGATGGATGGATGAACAGGTGGGAGGGTAGGTGGATGGATGGGAGAAGGTCACTTCACCTCTCTGAGCCTCAGTTTCCACCTCTGCCAAAATGGGGTTCCTCAGCTCCTTCTCCAAGAGATATATAAGAACCTAGCCCAGGCCTGCCTGATAGCTGCAGGCCCAGCCCTGCCAGGGTCCAGCCCCATTCCCACTCCTTCTCCACTGGTCCTTACGGTATTTGCCAGATGCCAGCCATCCAGTGATGGCAACAGTGATGTGCAGCTGCCTGCCCTCCGTCAGAGGAAGGAACGTGAACTCTTCAATGGCCCCAACACGCTTCTTCATCTTGTATCCTAAAGGCCCAGATGTGAGAATTACAGAGGGGACTCTGCGTGAGTGGGGTGGGGCAGAGCAGTCACTGACTGCATGTGCCATGTCCTGGAAATCACACATTTTTTTTTGTGAATTGCCTAAGGCAAGTGTCATGACTGTACTCAATTACAGAGGAGGGTAACAGGCAGTGTGTGGGGGCAGACAGGGGTCTGCATCCAGGCTCTGACTACTGCCTCGTCCTGACTTGGCTGGATCTTTTCCATTACTGACCCACGGTCTTAATGGGAGCGGACTGAATTAACTAGGTCTCTCCGCCAGGGAGCAGGGTGGGGATTTCCTAGTAAGCAGGGGCTGCAGACACAGATGAGCTGGTCCGGGAAAGGCAGCCACGCTCTGTCTGACCACAAGGAAGCACGCATGTCTCTAAGGCACTTGCCTGAAAACCCACAGTGTAGTGGCAGCAGGCCCTTTTGTGCTCTCTCTAGGGAAGCAGCCCAGGGCCCTTGAGGGATTGGGGGAGCCAGTTCCCTAACCTCGGTACCACCCTAGCCTGTGCTGCTATTGGCTCGATTCTCTGTGAAACTGTGGCAGGTCTGGCATGGCTGGGACCCCGAACGCACAAAGCTGGAGCTCCTGCAAAGCCACCTGGGCGTGTCCTTTAGGGTGGGCTGTGCTGGTGCATCCAGCCCCTGTAATCCCTTTGGAACCTCACCTGTCAGGCCGGCACCAGCTGCACCGAACAGCGAGGTCATGACAGCTATGCCTGCCACTGAACCCAGCGCTGCTGCCCCAGCACTGCCAATGACTGTCGCAGCTCCAGCAGCAACAAGGGGGGCAGCGAGACCCCCAGTCACACCTGCAGGGAAAGCAGCCCGTGGCACATGAAGGTGAGTTCTTGTCCCACCAGCGAGCCACTGTCTTCCACGGAAGCTTCTAATAATGATAAGAGCATAGCTATCGCTGGCCAGGCAACTGCCGCCTGCAGGGGCCACCTCCAGCCCACCCCCTTACACTCTCTCCTTATCCAAATCTGGCACACATCTCTTGCTGTGTGCAGCCCCAGCCCATACGCCACCATTCCCAGCTGGCTTTACCAATCACTGTCCCGCCTCCGACAGTGGCCAGGCCTATCAGGAGATAACGCTTCCATTTCCTCCTGTTTTCCTTCTTCTTCCGGGCAGCCTCTGCCGTTCTGGGAAAGAAGAGGTTGGTCTGTAGGGCCACACATGCCCCAGATCTCCTGAGACCTCCCATCCCACCAACCCCACACCAAGGTCAATCAATGGTGGGCTGGGACATTCACATTTGGTAACCTGCCAAAGCTACCCGAGCTCATTGGTGGTTTTCAAAAGCGGAAAATATTCTAAAACCCAGCCGGGGAATCTCAATGTAGGGGTTACACTACTTACCCAACAGATCCATCCTAATAAGGTTGCAATTTGAATAATGAGAAGACAAAAAAAAACAATAATAGAATAATAACAAGAGAAGCACAGAAAATATCTTTCAATAGCTGGACCCAGAATGACTGCAAAATAGAATCCCAGGTTCCGTCACCTCCCACCCTTCCCTGGTCCCCCACCCTGCCACTGCACCCCTCTACTCTCCCCTAGGACATCTGGAAACCAATTGCCTTCTGAAGAATCACTTCACAGATAGGCTAGAAATGTCTACATGGAGTTCTTGGCTTTGGTTGGAGCAACAGCTAGACCCACTCAGATTGAAAATATCAACGCTGCAAAATCTAGAACAGGAGAGCATTTGGAGTGAACTGGGGTCAGAAGCATCCTGACAAGAGCCTGAAGTCAGGGCACCCCATTTCCGGGTTGAACACTAATCTCTCAGTCACTTTGGGGCGATCAGGAGCAAGAGCGGCCACCGCTGGCCCCAGGAGTCATGCTGTGGGACTCTGAACTGAGGCTGGAGTTTGGACAACAACTTAATGTGGAGAGATAGACGAGGATGATGGTGATAACGGGAAATGGTTAATGTGTAGCGAGGGCTTCCCAACACCAGCCACCGTGCTCTGCCCTTCCCACACTCACTTCATCTCATTCTGAGGTGAAGTTTTACTGTTGTCCCCACATTGCCGATGGGTGAGGAGGTAGCAGAGGTTACCACCTGGGACCTCTGGGGTCGACAATGAGAATGTCTATAAATCACACTGGTGGGTGCTGGGAAACAGCAATGTGGTCATAAAACCATGTCATCCTGAGCCCTGTCTCCTCTTCTTTTTTTAATGTATTTGGTACAGGGTCTCACTACACAGCTTGGACTCAGTGATTCTCCTGCTTTCAGCCTCCCCAGCGCATGTGGTGCTTGCTTAAGCCGGCGCTTAATCCGCTGAGCTATCTTGCTGGCCCTTCCTCTTCTTTTCAAATGGAACAGTAACATCTCCCTAAATTAGTTGCTTTATGAATATTAAATTAATTCCTGCTCGGTCTATCAATAAGTCAATCAATAAGCACCTCCCTTTTGGGTGGTACTGGGAATTGAACCCAGGGCCTCTGCATGCAGCTAAATCTCTATAGCTTTTTCCTCCTTTCCCCTTCTCTCCTCCTCTTCCTCACCCTTCTCTTCCTCCTTCGTCTACCAAGATGCATCCCCAGCCCCTTCTTTTACTTTTTCCTTTCCTCTTCTTTTCTTCATCTTTCCCTTCTTTCTTTCTTCCCTTCCTTCCTTCCATACTGGGGATGGAACCCAGAATGGTCTACCACTGAACTAAATCCCTAGCCCTTTGCATTCTGAGTTGGGAGTTGCTCCAAGTTGCCCATGCTAGGTTCAAACTTGAGACCCTCCTGTCTCAGCTTCCTGGAGTGGTGGGTTTACAGGGTTGCCCAGCCGGGACCTGGATCAACCAATGAACTTCTACTGTGAATATACATGTGCTGGCACCTGTGAGGGGCAGGCACTCATGAGGGAGACCCCACATGTTCAGTCCACATTTGCTCCTTTCATGCCTTCTCCCTCAGACTTCCCACAAAAGGGATCTGAGTTTGGGGAGCTGCCACGTTTTGTGGCTCTCTGCAAGTTCACATCGCCAATTTTCTCCTGTGTAGCTCCTGGTCTAAAACACAGAAGCAGAAACCAGCATTAAAGCCTGTGTATACCATGAGCACTGCTTTTCTGTGATTGGATTTTTTTTTTCTTTTTAGTGCTGGGATGGAACCCAGGGCCTCATGCATGGTAGACGGGTGCTCTGCCACTGAGCTCCATCCCCAGCCCCTGGGCTTGAAACGGATGCCATCAGCAGGTGCGATGAGGAGAAACTTGTATAGATCCAGCTAACTGAAGGGAGGACAGTGGCCAAGGGCAAAGGGCCTGACGTCAGGACTGAGTCTGCAAAGGCAGACTTAACTCTGACTTGTGCCGTGGCACAGGATGGGCAAATATTCGCCAAACATCCACTAATCCCTCCCAATGGGAGGAGTGTACATTTCTCCCTCAGTATCTGTGGGGCTGGATCTAGGCCTCCCCAAGGAAACCCAAA